ATTATTGCTGCATTTCATTTGTTTCTTCTTTGGTGTCATTTCTCAAGGTTTATTTTGTTTGATTCATTATTTGTCTAATCCACCGAGAAGAAGATACATGGAATAACTGAGGTTGGATTATCCCATAATTGTCCCTATTTTTAATTACTCCATAGATACCTGCATGTATATAGTCTTGATAATGTTGGAAATGCTATCTCATCCACACACACTTGAATACATCTCTTACATAGCTCGTTGCTTTTTGTCTATGTTTTTCCCTTCCATAGAGCTTTATTTTATTCAATTAAATTTTCATCTCTGTAAAATTAAGGTGAGCGTTGGTGATAAAAAATTCTAGGCTGCCTGTTTTCCTTAGTGATAACCAGTACTGAATATGCAGTGTATGGGTTTAAATCGAAGGAACACAAAATGACATCTTCATTCCGTAGGTTTGTAGAGGAGTAAACCAATGAGACTGAGACCATTTGCTCATCCACTCAGCAAATGGCCAGCATCCTACTACATGCTCGTCATTGTGGAAGACAAACAGGAAACAGGAAAATATATGTCCAATGGTGATAAGCACTTGTGTTCGTTTCCTAGAGCTGCTGTAACAAAGTACCACAAACTGTCTTACAGCAGAAGTTTATTTTCTCATAGTTCTGGAGGCTAGAAGCCCAAAATTATGGTGTCAGTAGAGTTGGTTCTATATGAGGAATCTGAGGGAGAATCTGTTCTATGCCCCTTTCTTAGCTGTTGGTGACAGCTGGCAGTCCGTGGTGTGCATTGGCTTGTAGATGCATCAGTCAAGTTTCTGCCTCCATCGTTACATGGAGTTCTCTCTCTGTGTCTGTGTCCAAATTTACTCTTCTTACAGGGACACCTGTCATAGTGAATTAGGGCCCACTCCTATGAACTCATCTTAACTTCATTGCATCTGCAAGGACGCTATTTTCAAATAAGGTCACATTCTGAGATTCTGAAAAAGATGTGAATTTGGGGAGAAAACTATTCAACTCATGACAGCACTATAGAAAAAAATAAAACAGGATGGTGGGATGCTGAATGCTAGAGTGAGATGGGCTTGTGATTTTATATAGAGGATGAAGGAAGGCTCACTTTTGGGGTGTCATGTAAACAGAGAATTGAGGAAAATAAAGGAGAAAGACTGGTGGATAGCTCTGGGGAGAGGTTTTCAGACAGAAAGCAGCATGTTCCTCTGAAGCAGGACTGTTTAGCTTCGTCTAGAAGCATCAGGGAGGCACCTGTTCATCTGAAGGAAAGAAGTAGAAGGTGAGATCAGAGAGGTAGCTGAGGCACGTAAGTAACATGGAGGGCCTCCCAGACCTTTTGCTTTTACTCTGAGGAAATGGGAAACCACTGGAGAATTCTAAGTAGA